CCAATAAGAGAACTTTGGAAAGAGAGGAAATACGCTTTTGATTGTATAATATACACCAGCTATATCAAAAGTTTATACTCTTGGAGAGTTCAGCAATCGCTCAAAACAGCTCTGAATTCTGTACGAGAAGTAGGCTGACTTTGTTGTTCCAATAAGGAGTAGAAGTTTTGGCAATTGGTCGACAGATCTCTGGCGATTCTTACGATCTCCCTTTTTAATATATTAGAAGACTGAAATAGCATTTGTTCTGCAGAAAATGAGTTGGTTACTAACTGGTTGATCCATGTCTGATAACAATTTCTGCATTGTGCTGCTCATTTGCGACATATCATTTCCAATGAGCGCTTCTGTCTTTTCAATCTGAAAATTTTGACAATCCTCCGAAATGAATAGGAAAAGTTCAACTTCATGTTTTTTGTGATCTGGGAGTGCTGCTATGATTTGCGTTGCTTCACCGAACATGTCACGGAGCTTGGATGTTATGTCCTGAAGAAAAACTTCGGTTTCAGAAAAAAAGGCATGAGGCGAACTCGAATAGAGAGAACAAAGTGGTCATGTTTCATTTCTTTGTTGAATGTATTATTTAAGTGATCCACTGCTGTTCGGACAGCTGAAGACGATCGTTTCACAGAAAACAATTGTTCGTGCGGAATCTGCAACCATGTGAATAAGCACAGAAGTAAACAGATATTCCTCACCTTGGTATAATTTCCATTAACTTCATGAGAAAGTAGGTTAAGAGATGACATTCCATTCCTTATATCCGAACAAGAAGCTTCGGGATAACACAAAGCCTTTGAATACAAATATTATATAGATAAGTTGTTTGGAGCATACCAAATCTTCTTGTTCTTCCAGCCACTTCTCATCCTCTTCAGCCTGCCTTCTCTGTTCTTCTAAAGTTCTCCATAACGTTAAAGCGGGTAAAGAATCGATTTTGGTGAGTATTATCGGAGCATTCTGTAATTATTATTTTTAGAGAGAAGTACGAGTTAGATACCTTCAACGCCCTCGTGACTTTTATATCAGAGAAAGAAGTGCCAAATTTGATTTGCTGAAGTATTGACTCCAGAACTTTTTCTACTTCATCCATTGTTGGTCGTTTGCCTGGTTCTATGGCCCAAATATAACTTTCTAAGTAGTTGTAGAGTGCTTGTGGGCAAGCTGTTGGGCATTTTGGTCTTAATCCCGCTTCAATCTGAGCAAAATTTAATTTTGAAAGGTTTTTTTTCTTTAAAAATTGTACTTTAGATATAACATCTGCGTTTTGCACTCCTTGCCATGGCTTAACTCCCCAAGAAAGTATTTCCCATAAGCAAACTCCTGAAATATTAATTTCTGCTTTGTAGAGCTCTCGTTAGATACCGAACATCCAAACATCCGAAGCCATACTGAACTCCCTGAAGTTAATCGATTCGGGAGCCAACCATTTAATTGGAAGTTTTCCACGAGAAGCTAAATAGGGAGGTTTCTGCAAGATTAACTCAATTTACCTGTGTAAACAGCGTCATAGTCCAGAGAACGACTCAGTCCAAAATCCGTTAGTTTCACACATTTCGCGGATGAAACCAAAACATTTCGAGCAGCAACATCTCGATGAACAAAAGAGTTGTCGTGTAAGTACTGTACGTATTTCATTTTGTTACGGCTTTTTAAGAAACAATACCTGGAGAGCGTTAGATACTTGATGTGAAAACTGTATCAAGATAGTTAAGTCCAAGGCGTTCGCATTGTTTTGGAGATATTGTCGGAGCTAAGCAAAAATAATTGTTTTCATTATGGATATTTCGCAAAAACCTCTCCCAGCGGAGCTAGTTCCATAATAATCCACATTGGACTATCCATGCAGACGCCCACTAATGAAATTATGTGTTCGTGACGTAAGCTTTTCATCAAATCTGAGTCCAAATATAATTGGCTTTTGAATGAGAAATATTACGAGATTCTTGTAGAACTAATTGTGTGTCAGCTGGTTCGTTTTCGAGCTTACAAACTTTTATAGCTACTGTGCTAGTTCTGCCATGCTATAAGGATTATGCAAAAACTATAGGTACGATGTTTGAAACTAACGGGCTCAGTCAGAATTCCTTTATAGACATTACCGAACTGACCTCCTCCTAAAAGCTCTTTGAGAGTTACGTTTTCTCGCTTTATTCGCAAGTCAGGTTCAACTATAAAACGTTGTTTAACAGTGTCTTGTTAAGGTTACCAACTTCCAATCGGGGAATTCGGCAATGTGTTTTGTCGTAGTTGAACACTTTCACAACGTTCTAAACCTAGGAACTAACGGTAACAAAATTTATGAATTGTGTTCGATACCTTTCATTTTGAAAACAGAATCTCCTTGGTTATATAACATTTGGTATCCATCAATCAAGTGAGCCAATGATTCCGCTATGTTTTGAGTGGCAACAGTGATGAACTAAAAAAAATTATTTGATTGAATGCTTCAATTAAAAACTAACCAATGGCTGAGCATTTCCTGAAAGTTTCAATTGAACAACAGTTTTCTCGGAACTTGATTCGATTTTCCGGATGGTTATCTCTAGAACTGAGCGTAACTCAGTTAACCGACAGACCTAAAGTTAACTTCATTAAGGTTATATTGTTTAATTAAAGTACATCGCATCGTTCATTGGTTCTGTAAGATACACCAACATCTGGTCCAACAAGAAGATCAATCGGTGAGCTCCAGCCAATCTGAAAAGATGTAAATTAAATTGTTTTCAAAATGATTCGCTAACTCCAAGACTGGCTTTGAACAGTTCTACATCAAATTTCACAATATCGATTAAAATTGTGAGCGATTGGAGGAGGGAATCGGTGGATGGTAGGTCGGCAAACTTCTTCAATAAGCTTAGAAGCTGCTTTTTCAGGGCAGATGGCTGGAAAACAGAATTCTTTATATGTGTTGTCAACAGGTGCGTCACTTTTATATTGGGATTACAGAGAACTGTTTTTGGAATGAATGTTTGCATTGCATAATCAATATCGATGCCATCGATATCGATTTTATGATCCACACAGGTTCTCCTTTAAAAAAAGCTTGAATACATGAGTGAGAAAAAAAAATGCAACCGCTCCACTTTGTTATAAAAATAACAATGGAAGATGATTAAATCATTTCAACAGGCCCAGTGAGAGCCATGTTCGCTTTCGGAAACTCACGGTTGTTTCTCCGAATAGTCTCGGCAAATCTTCAAAGCAGCAAGTTCTAAGGCAGTTTCCTGATTGATTTTCCAAGCAACATGGGAGAGAAAATCATCAAAAACCTTAAAAGAAATTGATGAATAATTAATTGCTAAGAGCACCTACTTGATCATGTAGATAGAAAAAAGCCTTTGATTCTGTGAGTAGGAGCTCATATGCTGATTGCGGAATAAATCGGAGTCGTAATTCGAATCTAAAAAATAGAGCTCCAGATGTAGAAATAAGTTTGTTCTCGCCAACTCATGTGAATAGCACACAAGGGATTAAAAAGGATTTTTCATGCAAATGATATTCGATGATAGATGGATTTTGAAAGAAAAGAACTTTCTCTTGCAATGAACATAAAAGTTTAAAGCTGCTGTGAAACATCCGATAATTTGAAAGTTTATAGTGCTTTTACTTTCACCGAAATCTATAGACGTTCAATCAGGCACAAACTAATAAAATGGAACATTATGTTAAACTGTTTTTAACAAGCTTCCCGCATTCAAAATCAAATAGTGTTTCTCTCCCTTTTTTTTTGTTAAAAGCTTACTTAAGTTCTTCAGAAATAGGGCGAGTGTATAGATGTCTGGCATAAACATGTCGTATGTTTGAAATTGATAGTTTCGGATGCAACCATGTTGATTCGCCTTCAATTATCATTACATTCATTTTTTCTTTCGATTTTACCAGATCCAGAAGAGCTGAGGGTGGTATATAAGCGAAGTGAAAAATGGGGAGCAGCTACAGATGATACTCCTATTCCTTTAAGAACAACTTGAAGAATTCTCTGAAAAACGAATTTAATAAAAAGAAGCGGTTCTGTTTTATGATGTAAAAAAGTGAACAAGCGGTGAACTAATCCAATTTGGGTGGCTTTTCTAATCTTTTTTTGCTTTCTCTTCTTTTAATTTGTGGAGAATGACTATTATAACCAACACACAAACATTAAGCTCTCCCTTAATTCTCATTGAGCAACACAGGACAAGCTTCACTTATTAAATCAACTGGATGTCTCATGGGGAAAGCTTTCCACAATATTCGACTAAACAACAAGACGTCTAATACGAATCTGATGTCCTTTACTCTTCGGACACACCAATGTTTCTTTTTAGTTTCCTCAATATCATCGAGAAGGAGAAGCTCAATTTTCGGCAAATATCGGAATTCTAACTTTAAGATACATTAAGTTGTTTTCTTTCAAACAATTTACTTGTCGTTCCAGTGAAAAGACACAACCATATGTTATGCGTTCTAAAATACGCTAATTTTCGAACAATTTTCCCAAGAATTCGATTCTTTTTAAGAAAGACAAGGATTCTCTGCTAGCGCACAAACTATATCTATCGTTTGCATCTTCCTTCTCCAGCAATCTAAGAACACTCTAAGAAGCTCCGAATCAATCGAAGCAAAGGAACATTTGAACATCACAAACTATCGGATTTATATTTACCAAGACAGCATCGAAGTGATTGGCAGAAATAGAAATAAATCAAACAGCATGATCGATACCTTCGAGTTTGTCTTTATCAAAAATCCGTCCCATTCAACATATCCAACAGCTGTCTATGTACACGAAACATTCGGTCTTTTCTCGCCTTACTTTATAATTAAATATTGAGACAGATCATACACAGAAAAGGATCCTCCTCATTAGCACACGTCAAAAGTATTTTCATTCTCTAATTCGAAAATTAGAATAGATTGCCTTGAAGAAAAACTCAAAAACAGTAAGAGGAAAACTTTCTCCACCTTACAAGGAACAGAGAAATGATTTTAGATACTCTCCTCCCCATAGATATAAATCGATACCACATAAGTTTATGAGCCATCTATACAAAATAAATAATAAGGTCATCATTTAAGCAAAAGATAAACCGAATGCAACCGTCTGTGCGAGCAAAAAAGAAATCATATCGATCATTCTGAATGAACCATACTTTGTTTTCAACCAAACGTTACATTGAACTTTTTTCCATCAAAATGTTTGCAGTTTTAAATGCTTTATTAAATTGTAGGCTTGTAAACTCTGATCAATACAATAGCTCACATTCATTTTAAGAAAACAGTTTTAAGTTCGGTAAATAGTCTCACCTCTACAGTTGTCTCATCATCATAACGGACAGCCCTTGAACCTCCTCCAACCAAGAAGACTCTGGCAACGTTGTCGTCCATAACGTCATTGAACCTTCAGAACTAGAATACCTCACACCGGCTTTTCCAGCCTACTGGCTAAGGCTGCTGTCGCTGTTCGCCCCCGGGGGCGTGGTCTCTAGAGCGTTTGAATTTCGCGCGCTACCCTGCATCAGGATTCGCAAAGACCACCGATCGATCTTTTGGCCACTGCGCTCTCTTACTGAATTTTAGCATAATTTTATAATTTTTATGAAGTTTCCAAATATTTAAACACACAGAACGTGAAAAACGATATGCTTACCCAAGCTGCTCATATCATGTTCTTTCATACTTCATTAGATTTCGTAAAATCATGGTTTTATGCTGACTTAATCGTTCTTTGCTCTTTGCAGGTTTCCGTTTATTTTGAGTTTCGTTCATTTACTCCCCTTTTTGATAATTTTCGCGTTGATCCTTTCGTTTTTGTGGTTTATTGGATTTTTATCTTGTTCTAATAAGGTTTATTTTGAAGGGTAGCAAACAAAATGGGCGAGTTTTTCTTCAATATTGATCACGGATACTTGGAGGCTCTCATCAGAGGATTCAAATGTGGACTTCTCACCCAGGCTGATTACGCTAACTTGGTTCAATGCGAAACCTTAGAAGGTACAGCCTGTTAGTTTTTCTAATGAAATTTATTTTTTTCAGATTTAAAGCTTCACATTCAATCAACAGACTATGGAAACTTCTTAGCCAACGAGCCTGGTGCAATAACTGTATGCTTTTTTGATAGTTCGAATAGATTGTTGTGATTATTTCTAGGTCCAAGTTATTGATGAGCGTCTGAAAGAGAAACTTGTGACTGAATTCACACATTTGAGGAACAATGCTATTGAACCTCTTGCTACTTTCTTAGACTACATCACGTAAGATACGATAAACTTAAGGAGAACACTTTGAAAATTGCAGTTACTCGTACATGATCGATAATATTATTCTTCTTATCACTGGAACTCTTCACCAGCGCCCAATTAGCGAGTTGATCAGCAAATGTCACCCATTGGGTAAATTGAAAATTTAAATTGATGTTATAAAAATTATTATTAGGATCTTTTGAACAAATGGAAGCTATTCATATTGCTTCAACACCTGCCGAACTCTACAACGCAGTGCTTGTTGATACACCTCTCGGTAAGACATCGGGAACAGAATTTATCTTTGAACTGTTTTTTTAAGCTAATTATTTCGTTGATTGTATCAACGAGCAAGATTTGGATGAAATGAATGTTGAACTCATCAGAAATACTCTCTACAAGGCTTATATTGAAGATTTCTACAAATTTTGTCAGAAATTGGGAGGAAAGACCGCTGAGGTCATGTGCGAAATTCTCGCGGTAAATTTGTCAAATTCTAAAGCTCTTATAATGTGATCTTCAGTTCGAAGCTGACCGTCGGTCTATCATCATCACCATCAACTCTTTTGATACTGAGTTGAGCAAGGATGATAGGGAGAAACTGTACCCACGTTGCGGAAAGCTCTACCCAGAAGGTAAAACTTTCTTTGACAGTTATTATGTACTACTCGATTCTTAAAGGACTCTCTGGATTGGCTCGTGCTGACGATTACGAGCAAGTCAAACAAGTCTGCGATTTTTACGCTGATTACAAGCCACTGTTCGAAGGTAGCGGTAACGTTACAGGAGATAAGACCCTCGAGGATAAATTCTTTGAGCATGAGGTAGAGTGGATTATCCAGTCTAAAATTTCTAAGCTATTTTATAGGTGAAACTCAACGTTCAATCCTACCTACACCAGTTCCATTTCGGAGTTTTCTACGCCTTCATCAAACTGAAAGAGCAAGAGATGAGGTAGGAATAGTATAATGATGCTTTAGAAATAAAACTAAATTTTTAGAAACATCATCTGGATTGCTGAATGTATCTCTCAGCGACACCGTACTAAGATTGACAATTACATCCCAATTCTGTAAATGCTGTTTTCGAGCATATACGGCCTTATTTAACATTGCCAAATATATCTTCCCCATACACTATTAGTCTATAGAAGTAGGTAAACCTGCTCATTAGTTTTTAGTCAAAGGAAATTCATAGTTTAAATATATAATATATCAATCTTCTACTAATGTGATGTCGAATTCCTTCGGTGATCATAAAACATTCCTGTTTGTAAAAAAAAAACCATAGGCGGATTTTTCTGGTCTATCTATAGTGATATTTTTCTTTGTTTCATGCAAACAACACCTAACCAGCTTGTACAGCTATATAAATTTTTAGTTTTTAAGTTTTACCTTTGCCTGCTATCTGACTTGATTTGCAGCTATTGGCGAGTATTGTTCGGGCTGGTTTCGGTCAGGAAAACCAATGCTTATGTTTACCTTTATAGTACTAAAGCGTGATGAGCAGGTGTGCCTCCCACCTTACTATGCTAATGCTCATTTGCCCATATTTGGTAGCAGGTTGTCTTACTGCACGTCAAGAGCGCGCTTCAGCCGACCATCTTCAATTCCTCCACTTCTGCAACGCCATGTTTTCTTAATTGTAGTTTGCTTAAGAATATATGGTTGTACAATTACAGTAAAATCTTGTTCAAAAAATGCTCGATACTAGTCTTGTAACTCTCATTAGATCACATGATAATTGGGTACCCATTGGGGTAGATCCCAGAAAATTTAAAAAGAGCACGTGTTTAATAAGTTTCAAAAACTCTGGAGCTTGAAAATTTCGTCTATTCAGATATTTATTTAACTATGTGTCTTTTTTTCAGAAATCCAAAGAAATGCTCAAATTCAAGATTTTGCGAGTAAAAAATCAAAAGAGGTTTCCCAAAAAGTCAGAGTAATCGGTAATCGATCGAGTTGTATAGAAGGTACTCGATCGTTGTAAACGTTTAAATTTTTTTTAACAGGAAAACTTACACGTTTTCACTCGCTTTTCATCTACTTTGAAACGACAGCCCGACATCTACTTTACGAGTGTCTATCCACTCTCAAGCTATCCAAATAAGGTTGGTGCATTTTCAAAACATTTTGTCGTGCTTTTGGAGCCAATTTTCAATTTTTACATCTATATGTTCAATTCATCTGATCATTCATGCCTTTTAATTTTTATGAGAGCTTGGAATTCCTTTTGTCCCAATGATGAAAACACCTATGATTATCAGAATGCAACCGATTCTCATTTTTATGATTTGTAAATGGAGGAGGATGAATTAGTTTTCACGTTTGCATTTTCACGTGTTTCACATTTACCCTAGATGTTTTACGTTCATCCTCAAACAAATACATATCTTCTATGTGTTATTCTTTTTTATAACTTCAGCTCACCTGGCCTTTTTCGTCTTTTCATCCAGCTGGGCCTTGTTTCTTGTCCTTTCTCTCTCATTATCTAAATGAACTCTTCTGTTTGTCGTCATGCCATCTTCGTTTTTGATGTTTCTATGACCTTCTGGACCACCTCAATATTACCCCCGCAATGGTACGTATCCTTATTGCTCTACGTTTTGACTCAATCGTCACTGCGCATCATTTCGTTTGAATAATTCTATATCATTTTCGTTTTTTGTTTGAATAGATATTTCGTCTTTCTATGTTTTGGAATTCAGTAGTTACACGTGATCTTTCAAAATTTTTCATCTCATCTTACATTTATTTTTAAAATGAATTGAATGAGGAAACGAGAAATCATACTCGAGTTTTGACGATCCATTCTCACATATTTCTCACCTTGTTCCTGTTAAAGTTGTGTTTGAGCTAAGTGAAAAACCTTCAATCGGCTTATCATGCTCTTTGTACTAATCTGCTTCCTGCTGTACTAGCTTTCTTTCGATTTGTCTCTTTACTTTGCTCTCATTTCTCCAACTGCCGACGCGTCATCTCTCATTATGTCTGCTCGAGTCTTTTCTCTTTCCCCATTAGATCATATTGCGCTTAGGACGGTGACAACGACCACGACAACGATGTTCAGAATACATGCAATACAAGCAAACAAACACGTGTCCTTCCGACGCTGCCGTTGTTGTCTAGCCCCACCGATACCGGAAGAGTATTGTTTAAAATTTCAGAAGGTTTTCCGTCTGAACATCATTCCTTCTTTTCTCTACTTCTTCATGGCGCTTCACTTCTCTCTCATTTTCTTCATCCACGAGAGGGTACATGGAAATGAAGTCACTATAATCTCGTTTGGATTTTAGTTGTGAACTTTTTTTTCAGTTGTAATTATTACTTTCGTTCATCTTCAGAATGTTAACGACATAGAATTGTCTGAAACAGCTTATTGGCTAGACAGCAGCTGATTAATAAAGCCTGTTTGTTAGGAAATGTTTGTTTGATTTGTCATTTAAATGGCATATTGCTGTAAGCTTTACCAGAATGTATCTTTCCCTTGCTGTCACACATTAGATTGTCTTCTTGTTCTTCATATCGTCTTCCAAGGAATGGGTTATATTGAAGGTATCCATCACCCTTCTTCTCCCAAATGACCATCACATTCGTCCTTTCGAACACTTTTTAAGTCAATTTTAGGACAATGTCATGTTTTTTGATTTTTCGTCGGTTTTTGAATGTGAAAGAGAATTCTTACCAAATTAGTCCATCTCGTTTATTCTTTCTCGGACCATTTGTAATGAAAGGAAGAAGTTGTGTTTGGTTTTTATTTTTACAAACTATTTGGCTTCTTTCTTGTTCTTTTGACCTGTTTATGCTTGACCAACAGTAAGTATCTTAATGTTTTAATGAAGAAAACATGAGTTTGTTCAGTCCATTAGAAGTTTTCTTTCATGACGATTTTACTCTCATTGTCAGGTCGTCGTCACCCTGAAAAGCTTCTCCATTTCCATCATTACGGCATCTTATTTTTTTCTCCTCGAAAGAAGTCAGAAAAAGAGAAAAAGTTGAGAAAGCTAGTCCATGATGTTTCCAAAAATGAAATGAGACACTGAGAAATTGTAAATGAGCGAAATGTCGTGTTTTTTTTTGTATCTTTTGTGTGAAGAAAGGGTATGTGCAACTTGAATGTTTATGTCAAATCTTCTATTTCTTTCGCTTGTTGAATCTCAGAGTTAATCCACCATCTCTTCTACTGTTTATGATGCTGTTTCATTTTTTTAAATTCTCATTACGAGATTCATAACTTTTGATGCGTCTATCAACTTGCCGTCTTTCTCTCTCACTAATCTGATCTTGGATAGTTCTCTCTTATCCGGTTTACTTGCTATGTCATTTTCTTGAACTGTACAGTTTTATGTAAGCTTTATATTCTTTTTTTCTCCCTAACGCCTCTCTTACCAATTTTTCTCGATCTCTTCGGTGCGTGTTGACCATAATTGGGCAACTACTAGAGTTTTCCACTTGTAATTCACCTAGTTGCCGTGAAAAGCTCGACATCCTCAAATGTCAATTAACTTGTAATTCTTGTTCCCACCTGCCAGACTCTTCGCAAATGTATTTTCGAGAAGTTTGTCTAGTTGTTCGCTTTCTTCCATCCACACAATAAAAACAAAATTTTGTTCGAATTTTGGAATGTTTTCTCTTCTAAGACTTCTTTTAAGTTTTTAATGATCATTTGCTATGTCAAATGGGAATGTGGTTTCAACTGACAAATGGCTGGAAATGCTTTTAATCTCCCCATTTATGCTTTGCTTATCGCTGTTACCTAACATTGCTTGGTTGTATAGGCTATCTAACAGAACTTCCTCATTAGACTATTCATTCTCAATTTCGTGATTGAAATGAACACGTTTTGTTCAAACAATATGCAAAGGGAGGAGATTTAGAGAAAAGAGTTGACTATGAAAGCTGAAAGTCCTGAGTTTGTTTGCGAATGTCTTCTCGACGTTTTCCTCATCTTCGCTTTCCTCTTTTTTTTTTCTTGACTTCATCATCTTCGCTCCGCAACCTTTTTCACTTACACGTCAACGTCTCCGAAACATGTTGGAATGAGAAGATGAAAAGGAAAACGAGGAGAATTAGAAAGTTATAAGAAGAGAAACAGTACGGCACGTACGTGCAACTAACCGGCTTTCTCTTACCTTTGCTCATCTCAGCACTTTCTTTCTTTTTCTGGATTTCCAGTAGTATCTGCCAATATCTTATATTCCTCTTACTGTTCAGCTCTCTTTATCTTCACTAATATTTCTTTTCTTTGATTTGTTCATGAAACTGCTCAAATGAATTTTTGACTTGTCCGCCTCATTTGATTCACTCAAGGCTGTTTCTCATGTAAATCAAGTTACCAATATCTCATTGATAGGATTCTTAATCTTTCATTTTGATTGTAATAATTGCCATCATTTCTTATATAATTAATTAAGTAGATATGGATAAGTGAATTATATGTTCTGAATCAGATGGATAAGGTTGATTTATGATCAGCGATCCTCATTTATCTGCTTCTTACAATTGTATCTGTATTTAAACAAAAAAACATGTTTCTAAAAAATATAAATTTCAACACAACCGCTCAACACGTCACCGCAGTTCAGAATGTGTTTTCTTTTTTTACGATTTGTTCACGTACATACAATATGTTTCACGTTTCCATATGCTAATTAGTGTGGCAAGTTAGATTTCATAATATATCTAAATTTGACTTTTTTGTTCGCTAGGAACTTTTTGCGCTTATTTGTATCTAGAAGGTGTTCGTTCGTATGGCTTTCTTCTTCAACTCTGGCTGTCGGCTGTCATTCCTCTAGTCTAACTCTCTGATCCGTCTGTCAGCTGTTGTTTTGTGTTGTTTCGTCTCTTAACTAAATTATCTCTTTTTCTCTGACCCTCTACATTTGAAATGCAGTTTAACGAACTTAGACTTCTGGATAATTTTATTATAGTAAGAGATAGATAAGAAGTAAACCATTTGATTGAAGCTTTTTTGTCTCATACTTATGTCTATGCTTCTCTCTTAGAATGTCCTTTTCGATTTACTTATTACCATACTTTATTTCTATTTTTTCTGAATCTCCATGCAATCAGTCCATCTTTTATATTCCTTTTGATAATTTATCAATCAATAAGTTGCCTAACGGCTATAAGAATGAGCTTTCACAAAGAACTGAACCGGTCCGTACATCTTTTGGAATGTTTTCATCAAATTCATATGCCTAGAACATGCTTACCTTCTATGGTCATGAAATTTGAATCGAATTAAGATAAAAGTAGATTGAAAAGACATAATTCTTCCAAGTTGACGAAGAATATTTATGAAAGTTTTAGTTCCAAACTTGCCTTATTTACCATCATTTATCATTTTTTATCTGTGCGTCCTTCTAGTTTGTTTCTTATCAATATAGTTTGTATAAAACAACTGTATAGTTAAGATAACATGAAAATTAATTTTCGAAATTATTGAATCTGAATCATTTGTCCCACACTTGCACATGTTTCTCATTCATCACACTAATCATTGCAAGCCGATTTCACTTTTTTTCGTCTTCCATTTAGCCCGAGGGCAATGTAATTTGATTATTATTCTGATTATAAGCCATCTCATCCATCAAATTCCTTTCTTTATCTCATTATCTCACCTGCTACAATAGACTATTTTTCCTATTCTCTCTCGATTAACTCGAAATTCCCTAAATATCCAAATGCTTTACCTAATATGGCATATCATCCTTTGTTTTATCTCATCTTTCATGGCTTCTCTTTCATCATCCTATCTTAAGTTTCCATTTGTTCATCTTCTCTTTGCAAGTAATTTCTTTCATTTCTTTGATCTGCTTCAGCTTTTTGCCGCAAAACTCCTTCTTTTTCGTCTGTTGCCAACGCCCAGAAGATTAAGTTTTTCAATGGTAGCTTTGACAGTCTGATAATTGATTGGTTAATGTGATAGAAGGTTTCACTCGAACAGAGAGGGAGAAAGAGAAACAGAGAAAGAAACAGAGTGAAAGACTTGTTTATTCGCCTAGTATGTCCATCAGATTTTTGTATGTTACATCTTGTCGAAATCTTGCAGCAAACCCTCTCTGCCCATTTCTCTCTCTCTCTCAATCAGTACATCTCCTCTCTTCATTTTATCCAATCGTCCTCTCTCCATATTTTTTTTCCATCACAGTGACCCGGCTCCACTCTCGTCTTGGCCTTATAACTGTTTTTATAATTCCTTCCCCCGCTCTCTCCCTCTCTAAATACACTCTGTTCAACTCGATTCATTTCATTTTAATGATTGTCCGGCTACAGAAATTGCAGCTTCTCGTCTGTTTTTCCTCCAAATTTTCATTGACCGAATAGTTTTTTCCGCTTTCTTCTTTTTAATTTAATCCTCATTTTGTTGACTTTCGGACCTAATTCGTTCATCACTAGGTTTCCGGCCGAACTTCGTTTTTTCTTTTTTCGAAGATTTTTGATTTTGGTTTTCTCATTTCGTTTTATGAAATTTCAATGTTTCTTCTGCATCCATTGTATTATCTCTTTAAACTTTTAGTTCATTTTGAATTCAAATTTTCATCTTCTGTTCCATCCTCTTCTCTTGATATCTGCTGCTTCTCTCTCTCTCTTTCTCTCCTAGTCCATGTTGCTTTTTGAGGGAGTTGGAAGTGAGAAAAGTATTGAAAGAGAGAAGATAAAAGCTCAAAGGGAGAGTGAGAAAGAGGAAAAGAGGTATAAAGAAGATCTTCTCATCGGCTATATGTTTCCAACACGAAGATCTGTTCATCTGCAGAGAACTTTCATCGTTCTTCCCTACACTCATTCAGCTTTCTCCTCATCTGCCTTTATCTTTCTCTCCAATAGATTTGAGTTGTAAAGCTGAGATTCAGCTGTGTTTTCACAGACTGTGTGAGAATTATATAGACATCCTTCCTGCTTTCTTCCTTTTACTCATTTCAACCTCATCCAACCTTATGTTTTCATTTATCGTTTAACATACTCTGCTAGCGGTTGTTTTTTTCTTCTTCTCATCCTTATTTTTTCGTTTCTTTTCCTCCTTTATACTACTTCAAAGAGTTATTTCGTAATTTCTGACATTTCTTTTCATTTATTTTTGTCATATTGATTTTCTACTTTATTTTGATAAAATTCTAATGAAGAAATAGAAGCTGATAAGACTTTCTTTGCCTGAGACGGCTGTCTAGTTATTCTGATTTCTCATCATTCCTCTTTTAACTTTCTATTTGAACAGTTTTCCATTTGATAATGCTTCGATAACTGTCTTGAACTTTCTTGAATTCGATTAATGGAATTATTTTCTGCAATCGATTGATTCCCCTCCCCCCTCTTTCACCTCCCCTAATGACAGATGTTAACTTTAACTTCATTTCAGAACGGGTTCAAAGCTTTTTCAAACATATTTTTGTTAATAAAATGGATGAGGAAGATGTGTTCAAATGTCGAATACATTATGTGAATGATAGTGATCCATTTGCAACTACTTCCACTTATTATTTGGAACCGATGAGGCCTGTAACTTTCCAATTTCGATTACATTCGTCTATTGGATTACAAATCCCTGAAGTTATAAGAACTCTTCGCGCACCACACAAGGTTTTCGAAATTCTTTTTTTTTTTTTTCATTTTCTGGTTTTTCAGCCCGGAGATTCCGCTTTACAAGTGTATAAAGGAAGCGAAGGTGGTGGTGGTGAATTCTTCACATACTTAGATGGTGAACTGACTCTCTTCGAGCAGCCGGATGAATTCGAAATTCTGAAAAGTGACAGGCACGTTCTATTTTAAATTGTTGTTTCTATGGAGTGTTATGATAGAAAGGAAGTTAAGTGATTCTTTGGATATAATTGAAGATTTGTCTTTTGCCTCTCAATCATTAGTCCTGTTTTTCAATCTAACTTTCCTCTGTATAGTTTATAATAATTGTTTGTTTTTATTATTTCGATCCGGAAATTTCGTTAATTTACGGACCCCCTAAGGTGAGGAAAAGATTCTCTTTGTTACATAAGGTGATCCCTTCTCGGTCTCTCTCTCACTCTCTCCCTCTCTCTGTCATCTCACTGAATAGAAACTATTCTAACGATTATTTGGAAAATATTTATTATCTCTTATGAGCTCATTCATCATTTATCTTCTTATGAGAACAACAACCAAAGTCTTTGAACACTTTGTCAAAAGAGAAGTTGGAAAAAGTGTATGAAATCATTTGGCGAAATTGAAATATTTCGACCATTACCCAATTAGGTCCCGACGTGACCAAATTTGGATATCACTTTCACCTTAAGTTGACAAGATGAACGACATAATCATAATTTCCCCTTACAGATTTGTCCGTAAAGAGTCTTGTCAATCTACTTGTTGAGGATAAGTCCTTGAAAGAGAGAAAGTAGGCGCATAAAAGAGGTTTAGAGAGATATAGTCTATCAGAGAGAGAGGTAGGGGCAGTGGAAGAGATGAGGGAAAGGTTAAAGAATTACAAAATATTGAGAACGAATGTCATATTATATAAACAATCAAATTTAGTTACCACATATTGAATAGTTTTCATGAATATCAAGTGTTATACTTGAAGCTCTGAATATCTCTCTCTCTCTCTCTCTCTCTCTGATATCCTCCATTTCCTCTCATTCTCAACCTTTCATTTATTTTCTGCATGGAATCTGGAACTATTCATCCCATGTTCTCGTATGATAGAATTGCCCTAAGGCATATTTCAATAGAATACGATGGCCATATTCAAAATTCACCGATAACATCAGAACAAGACCTTAATCATATGTTGCATACGAGAGTAGTAGACACGGTCAATGAAGAGGCTAAGACAATCCGAAAGTTTTGGGAGACGATCAGTTCTCTTCTCTTCTTTCCCATTTTCTTCTTCTCATTCACAGTTATTTCTAGGGAAAAGAAGTTCGCGTCGCCGTACCTTTATCTCCCTCTCTCTGTCTCTCTTCATATCTCTCGTAGATCCATGATGTTTTGAGGTGAAATGTTTCCTCGTTTTCTCCTAATTTTCATCTCTCTATATCTCTCTACAGTCCTACTCCCTCTTTTCTCCCTCTCTCTATCTCATCCAATGTGTATTTCATCCTCCCCCACTCCTGAAATCTCCATATGAAGAATATTAGTCGTCGTCCACCTGGCTGCTGTCTTCTGATCTTCTAAATTTTGTTTCAAAATTTTAAGTTCGCTTCTCCTATTCTGTACTTTATTTTACTTTAATACCTTCTTACTTGTATTTCGTATCAGACTATGATCATCTATGTCGACTAGCTATAGAGCAACTGCTATCCCAGCTTCTTCTACCTCTGCTTCTACTGCTCCATCATCTCGGTATCCCTCTAGACATCATAATGCACCGTCGTATGAATCCATTTATGGCCATCAAACTCCTCTACACTCGAACACGCCTTCAAATTCGATTCCTACATCTTCTAAGCCGATTTTGAAAGCTTACGATATTGATTTATCAATTCGAATAGATGCTAGTGTTATTCCTTCTCAAGCATCAATTATCGATGGTCATATTAGATGTAAAGTTGATGAGGCTGGAGCTTACCGTCCATCGACTTCCTCCAATCCATTACATCTTTCAACTGCAATGAAAGAAATGCCTCTTATTGTGAAACCTGTGCGAAGCAGTGGCTTTTCAACTTTAGAGCGAAGAAGCCGCAGTAATGAATCGCATATTCAAACAGGCCATCTCATCACGTCTGAAGCAACTTCTCCTTATATTTCATCAGCAGCTTTGGCTAATGCAGTTCCTGTAATGATCGACAATAACGGTGCCGCTCGAAACGCTGCTCCGCTTCTGCAACGACGCAGAACTTTGACAGCATTGGAAGACCCTCGTACTTGGTATGCTTCATCAGTTGACGGACCAGCACATATATCTTCTACTTCATCTCTACCTCGAAATTTTGTACGAAAGCCTACTGTTATTCATACTGCAGCTCCAGTTAAAACTATACCATATATCGATGATGATGAAGCTGATGATATGCCACCAGCCAATGAGCCGCCACCCAAGCCAAATAGAAGCTTCAGTCATTCACCAGGACGACGAGAACTTCAAATGCCTCCTCAGGACTATTCTCTGTCAGCTCCTCCTTGTCCACCAGCATCTTCTCGTCTATCCAATCGAGATAATGACTATCCTGCGTTTGCTCATGCTCCTCATAAGGATGTTTTTACAGCATCCCCGTTGAAGTTACCTACTGCAGCAACAGCTTCCGAGTCTCCAAATTTGTCCAAATCACGGGTTTTTGGTGAAGGAACCCGTATTCTTGCTCGCCCAGTTCGAGTAGAGTGCGAACCAATGGAAGAAAGTAGTACGTTACCTTCCTGGAAGCCAAAATCGTTGCCATCACCTCCAAAATCCACAAAAGCTTCATCTATGTTAGCTTACGATCACCGTCGAGAAGACAGCGGCTACCGTTCTGACCGCAAGTCTAGTCTTGATCATAATCGCTTCTCTCCGCTTGTGTCTAACCCGGCTCCAATCGACTCATCGGATACAGAAGATGAAGATTTTGATTGGGGAGATGCTTATCTCAATAGGTAAAACATGCCCTACGGGCATATTCAAATTTCACTTTATTTCCCTTTTGTATTTACGCTTCACCTATCTCGATGATAGATTACAAGCTGTTTGAAACTCTTCAAATTCCAAAACTTCAAAGATTATGATGAGAGATTGTGAAAGTGAAAACCTTGGAAACTTCATAGTTATGTTTTTAATTTATTTCCATTTCAGCCGACGATGCAGTTTAGTATTGAGGACGCAAACTTCTCTCCGAGTCAAAACCATAATTGGTATTTTGTTTCTTTGTTACGTATATTTTGAATTTTCTAATTTTCAGATAAACTTTTGAATGCTTCAGGCAGTGACCAAAGAAGAGCCCTATTCTCATTAAAACAAATTTTTCAAGTAATAATCCAACTTACTCTCTCATATTTCAACATTGTGTTATAGGATGACAAAGATCTCGTTCATGAATTCGTTCAAAACGGTGGATTGGATTGTTTGATTCAATTGGGAAGAGTAGCTGATCAGAATCATCAAAATTATATCTTACGAGGTTTATTCTTATGAAAAGAACATTATATTACCATAACTACTTACCAGCTCTGGGACAAGTAATGCTCTATGTTGATGGTATGAATGGAATCATTGCCCATAATCCAACAATCCAATGGCTGTACGAGTTACTCGATTCTCCGGTATATTTCTTATCTTTTTCTTTCTGTCGTTGTGTATCTGAAGTCCTTTGTTCCTTTCTAGCTATATGATGCTGATGAGTTTCGTGAAATGAGCCCTTATCGTATTGAATGGGTATGTCCTTGTCTTCTATGTTCTTTGTTTTTGTTTTCCGTTGGCAAAAAAACTGAAATTGTTTCAGTTCCGTTTGGTTGTCAAAACTTCCTTGAAACTCTTACTTGTTTTCATCGAATATAATGATAACAATGCTCTGCTGGTATTGACAGCTGTATCGACTGTTGATAGAAAAAAAGGTTTTTATTCTTTCTTCATTTATATTTAATTATGCGATACTTGAAGGTCAACCTGATTGGACAGGACTGATGAAAGTTATTTCGGAAAAGGATTCCCCTGATCCAGAAACTCTCGTTTATGGGATGACTGTTATTAATAAAGCCCTTCATGGCATTCCTGATAGGGTATTCTTATTATTTATTTTAAGCGTTACTGAACGATTTTGTTTTGAATAGTTTTGAAAGTTCATCTAGGGAATAGAGACTTGAAAGAGGCTTTTGAGATATAACTTGTTTAGGATACTTTCTATGATGCTGTAGACACATTGGATAGTTTACAAATGGAAGAAGTCATGAAAAACTTACAAAAAACTGGAAACCGGGAGCTTCTAGAGCAGTGTAAGCTATATGAGAGAGAAGTTAATCAGGAGGATGAGCGTGGAACAAACAGCGACGATGATTCTAGTCTCAACGCAAAAATGAGGTTCGTCAGATCATTCAATCGTTCCTTTTTATTGTTTTTCCCTCCTGTTCCTTTTGTATCAATTAGACGAAAGCCCCCCGCATGTTCTTACTGAGAAATTTTGTTTCGTGACGTTTTTTGATGTGTTTTCATCTAATTTGCATGAGTGTTTTATGGAGTTTCAGACGTCGTGCTAGCTGTGATCAACTCGCGAAATCTTCAAGGAGTTCCACTTCTATTTCTTCACCGACCACGGCAGATTGTTCATACAAGGCAACAGCTATAGCTTCATCTAGCAGACGACCTTCCGTTGATCGATGTAGTAGCAGTAGTGGCGATACATCATCAGCTTTATCTGCTCCCGATGATGGATATGCTTCATCCATGGGCTCTAACACATTTGAAGCTCGTCGTTTGATGTTATCAACGACTCATTCTGCATTTTCTTCGGCTTCGTCAAATCAACTTCCTGCAACAAGCGATGGCAGTAATTCATTAGCATCGAATTCAGTAAGCAGTTGTTCATCATCTGTATCATCCGTGCACGGAAATGTGTCTGCACCTCCAAATACGGCTATATCACCAAATTGCTGGTCGTATACAGACGGATTAGTTGGCTCACGCAATCAGGCTATGAAGAACGATTATGTAGCTGAAACTGAAAACGCTTCCGACAACGAGCGCTCTTGGGAACGAACAAGATCAGTTTCACCAACATCGATTATTTCCTCTTCTGTCTCCATCCCTCCGGACGAGTTATATTCATCCGTAACTGATGATGCTCTGTCCTCAGATTTCCAAAACTATGGGTATGTTATAATTACTTCTAAATGTTCTTGTCATTTTCTGTAACTGCTCGATGTTTTGAAAAGTGTGACTTACGTGTGCTTTCTCTACTTCTTAATCAAACTTTGCCTAAAACATCCAATCCACATACTATTCTACTATTTACAGTTATCCTTATATATATATCATGCTTGTTATTCAGGACATCATCACAGTTGTCAACCCGAGCCGGAGATTCGTCTTCTGATCGCAGATCGACCATGAGAAGGCGGCATCAAGAAGCTCGTGAACGCCAGAAAGAGCATGCCGCTTTCAATCAAAATAGAGGATTATTTAATAAACCTCAAGAGTATGTTTTCTATAGTTTTTAACTCTTCGAGCAATGATGAATATATGTACAATGATCTTGTAATGATGTGAGTTACTCATAGTTTCTTCTTTAACGAACGGTTCATCATTATGCTCAGTCTGGAAACTTGTTTTTTGATTTAATTTTTTTAAAATTTTTTTTATTTTATTAAATTCTTTTCAGAGAAATATGTGATCCTCAGATACCTTCATCTTTGCCATGGAGAAATGAGATTTCTGCAGCCAAAGAAGCATCGGTAGCTATCACAGTTCAAATCTCAACTTATCTTTTTCTTAAGAAATCCATAATAAACGACGATAATGAACCTAAGAAAGGTCCCGAGCCTGTTCGCCTGGTTGAAAATCAAGAAAATGAAAGCCCAGAGGAAATGACGGAATCTTCTGAGAAAATAGTATGCTAATTCTCTTCATTATGTTAATGATATCTATCTGCTCAGGTGAAAGCTCCGCCCCCCTCGTTCCCTGCTTTATTCTCCCCAACGGAATCTAAAACTATGGACTTTCCTGAGCCTGTTAAGGAAATTGAGCTTCCTCGTCCGGCACCACCCAGGGCAAAGGTTTAGAAGTTACAGCAGTTTCATTGAAATTTTATGCATGTCAGATCGTCCGAGATGAAGGGGGTGGTGATTTCGCAGCGCAGCTCCAGAGAAAAGCAGCAAAAGCCGCTGAGGGTAACCGAGATTCATTTGCTCCACGAGAAACGGAAGCCGAGCAGCAATGGAAAAAGGTTAGATGCGAACATCTGAATTTAATCGAATATTATTTATAGGCTGCTGAAAATTTGAAGTCACGACCGTTGATTATCAATGATTTGGACTTCAGTGAGTTCCATGCTCTGGAATACGAACAAGATCCGCTTGTGATGGCTCGCATGGCACAAATTCAAGAAAAAAACAATCAGCGTTCTTCTGCCATCCCGCCACCTCCTCTACCAGGCGGAATCCCTCTACCACCTAGATGTATTTTGTAAGAGTTGTGGTTGTTTTAACTGATTTATTTACAGTGCAAGGTCTCAATGGCCCAGCTCCCCCTGCACCACCATTACCACCTGGAGGAGTGCCACCACCTCCTCCTCCTAACTTACGACGAGAAACCAGTCCAGGCCCATCATCTAATAAAGGAGTTTTAAAACTACATTGGAAACCGACCAGTACCGATGCTGCCATCGTTCCTCAACTAAGAGAAAAAGGAACTTTCTGGACGAAACTGGAGAGACCTCAATTCAATCCTGAACGTTTAGTTAAACTATTCGAAGCCAAACAACAGAAAGAAGTTCATGTCAAGGTACTAGGTTTTGTTGTTTTGTTTCAAAGCGTAGTTTTCCAGAAAGTGAATGAATCTAAGCCTCAGGTTCTAACTGTTCTTCCTATGAAAAGGTCGCAAGCGATTCATATTGGATTGACTAAGTTACCTCCCACGAGTGTTATTCCAGCAGCAATCATGGTGAGCTTCTTCTACCTTCACTCACTGAGTCCCTGTTACAGAAGTTTGATTCCATGGTATTGAACAAAGAAGGAATTGAAAAAATTCTTCGAACCATGATGCCAACTCCAAAAGAAGTGGAGGAAATCGAGATGAAAGCAGCTGAAAACCCAGATATGCAACTTGGACAAGCCGAACAGTTTTTATTGAAGTTGTCTCAAATTCCCAGTTTGCTTGAACGTTTGAAACTTTGGCTATTCACGCTTGAATATAAGAATGTTGAAAAGGTGATTCATATTTTATACCTGTTGATAAGCAGCTGAATTAAGGACATTGCTGAACCTTTGATGGATTTACAATTGGCAATGAAGGAAATGGAAGAGTCCAAAACTTTCAAAACAGCTATGGCTATGTTGTTAGCGATCGGAAATACTCTTAGTGGCACTGAGGTAATCTAAGTGAGGTTCATCGAGTTATAATCAGTTCTTGTTAAGATCAAAGGTTTCTATCTGGATTATTTAACGAAAGCTTCGGAAGTAAAAGATCCTGTTAATAAACAACCATTAACACATCATCTGGCCGAGTATATGTTGGAGCACTACCCTGAAGGAACAGATTTGTATTCAGAGTTTGGAGCAGTTGCTCGAAGTTCAAGAGTTTGTTGGCTTTTACATTTTTCCTGCTATCTCAAGTTTTTGCAGATAGATTACAAAGAATTGTTCGAAAACCTCAAACGGCTGGAAAAAGAGTGTAAATCGAGTTGGGATTACTTAGCAAAGATAGCTAAGAATGATTCAACAATGAAAAATAAAATCAATTTGTATTTGATCGATGTGGCTGAACGTATCCATCAGTTGAATGACATTTATCGCATCGCTAAGCATAGGTGATCTTTTTCTCAAATTCTATGCCTAATTGTCTTCTGAAATTCATAGGTGGCACGCATTTCTTCTATATTTTGGTTATAACGTTCAAGAGATTCCGGACACTCAGCCCAATGATGTCTTCAAAATGGTTCAACATGGCTGTGTGTGTATTTAACAGTTTCAAACTTTTGCAGGTTACCGAGTTTGCCTTAGAGTATAGGACTACTCGGGATAAGATATTGCAAATGAGAAAACGGATAGCTGAAAAGCGTGAGAGGAACAAAACAAGGTAATATTGCTAAAACTATTTATTGCAAGTTTTTGCTGTTTCAGAGGAAAAATATGGGCTTTAAGGCGTCCTGAAGGCGAAACCAAGCAAACACCAACATATGGTGAGCCTGTTGCTAAGCCTGTTGTGAACTCTTATGAGGTAATTCTTATCATATATCCCACTCATATGTTTTAATTTCCAGCGACACGATGAAATGCAGAGGTTTTTGGAGGGACTAGCCGATGGTGATAACACTTTAAGAAGAAGAGCCCGGCCGACACCTGACCGAACAACCAAAGTTAGCCCTCCAGGTTTACTTTTCTTCGACTATACATAATAATTTCTTTTTCTCTTCAGTAGATACTGGGGAAGGTGATTCACCCGATGACGAGATATTGAACAGTTTGGCTAAAGCTGCCACCTTACAAACAGATGCTCGTGATCACCGTAGGAAAGCGCGCCAGTTTAATAGGAAATCACGTAGTTCCTACGAAGTTTACTTAAGTCAGCCTTGATATTTCAGTTCGCCGTACAAGAACTTTGAAGCTTGTTGATGGACAGTTAGAAACTCAATACTAAATCTCCTCACGTGTGCCATTTCTTTTCATGTTGTATACTTTAAGAGAACGATTCGATTGTAAATTATCAAATTTTTTGTTTCGGTTTATCTAGTCTTCATCATTTTGTCTGAGACAATCAAAAGCAGTTGTTCTATTTCATGTTTTTCGATTGACGATCCTTTACAGGTACTATTTCTTTCTCTCTTTACCTATTCTCTCTATCTCTCTCCCTCTTTTTTTTGCTTTTGCTTCTCTTCAATCTCTTTCTTAAGACTATCTTAGCAATATAGGAAGCATAATATCAAATTTGTTTCGACTTTTTTTCCTAGGGAGTACGTGTTGTATCTTTTCATTCTCCCCGTGAATTTAATTATATTTCTCTTAAGTAATATCGATTTAATTTGATTGCTGTACATTCATAAAATAAATAACTGAATTATGAAAGTATTGTGTAACTTCCGTTAGCATTTTCTATTTGGATCAGCGAGTCTCCTACAGTTTGTACCTTCAATTGCGTATTTCAATTTCGTGATTTGGTGTATTTATATTTCAAAATCAGATCGTTTTTTGCGCATTAGTTATATTAGTTATTCTTTATTTCGGTTTCTTATCTTGCTATTTCATGGTTTATCTTATCTCCTATTTTCTCATTATAATAAGCAAGATGTTTGTTTTTGCTCGACCATATCAGTATGTAGTGCGCAATAGAATTTTTCCGGCAGTTGATTTTATTGATTTCTAATCGTCTCTCTATTTCATTTTTAGTTCGCTGGTAAGAAGATCAGTGGATTCGGCGGATCTGAGCCTTTTTTGGTGCTTTGCGAGTTTTTTAATTTAGCTCGCGAAAGAAATGGTTTTCGCTTATGGCCGTCATGTCAAATCTGCTAGGGTAGAGAACACTTTTTTGACCACTTTGTACTTAATTCAAAGATAAGAAAGGGTGAAAGCGTTCAACAAACACCAACCCACTCATTTTTTTGGTTCACATTGGAGAGTTTTCCAATGCTGGTTTTAACCCATTCTTGTCGGTTCAATTATTACGAACTACTTCTCTGGAAGATTTTTGTTGTTTATGGGTTTGTCGCTTGTTCGTTAAAAGCTTTTGATGCTTGTACCAACTATTCTAAAAGTTGTTTCATAGAGTTCCCTATTGTGGATAACATTTCGATTGCAAAGGCAGAGCTAGTGAAAATGAAGGAAAAGAATTAGTTTTCCCTGTTCTATTTCCCCCTGAGCTGGAAACTTTGACTTTTTGGAAATGAAGAAAGCGTTCTCCATGTTCATAGTTTGAACTCAATTTGTTGTTGAGTGGGATTCTTTTATAGTTTGTAATGGTTTATCTGAAAGGTTCTGAGAAAATCCTCTCGCGCGCGCGCGTGATCTACTGACTACAACAAACGGTTGTGATCACTTCTTCATAGCTTTCGTCAACTTTTTATCTTTTTCCACCTAACCCTTATGCTTT